GGTACCGCGAGACTGAACAAGATTACTGGTCTTGGTGGAGGATTTCAGCGAGGTACGATGACCGAATCCTTCTCGACACCTTGCGCAAGTGCAGACGCCGGTTTTGAGCTTCACAAATGCTGATTTTCGGTTTCTATCTAGATGAGCCCGTATCGACGCCTCCCTCAGCATCATCGTCCCCAGCTCCGGCCACATCAGGTCTGCCGAAGCCCAGCGTGAGCGCCGACCATGCAGACCCCGAGGAAATCGACATCTCCCAGCACTACTACGAACCGGCCTCGACACCCCGTCCCGCTGCCGCTGGACCGCCCTTCGACCCGAACTCCATGAACGAGGACCAGCTTCGACAAATGATGCTGGGCTTCGAGGGCCCTGGCGCGGGCGGAGCCCCGCAGAACCCTTTTGCGGGTCTCGGTATGGGAGGAGGCATGCCCGGCGGTGAAGACGATCCCTTGATGAAGATGCTCTCGCAGATGATGGCCGGTGGCGGCGCTCCCGGCGGAATGCCAGGCTTTCCCGGCGCCGGCGGTGCGCAGGGTGGTTTCCCGGCAGGATTCCCTGGTATGCCAGGCATGCCTGGTATGCCTGGAATGCAAACGCCCGAACAAGCCAAAGCCGCTTCGTCCGCCTACATCTGGCGCATTGTCCACGCCGTTTTTGCGATCTCTCTTGGTCTCTACATCGCCCTTACAACGACCTTCTCCGGAAGCAAGCTTGAACGCGAGCGCACGGCACTATCTTACAATTACCCTACGGGTAGCGACGAGGCAGTTACGGACGTCAACAGTATAGAGAAAGGCCGCGAGATCTTCTTCTGGATTTTTGCGACGACTGAGGCTGTGTTGCTCACGACGAGGTTCTTCATTGAGCGTGGACGGGCGCCTCCGCCGGGCATGTTGTGGACTGTTGTGGGATTCTTGCCTGGTTCGATCAAGACTTACGCCGAGACTGCGTTGCGGTATGGACAGATCTTCTTGACGGTGAGGAGCGATATCCTCGTATGTGTGTTTGTCTTGGGTCTTGCTTCGTTGATTCGCGGATGAAGTCACCGGCTGAGATGATTCACTGGTTGGGGGCAAGTTCTAGATAGAGGGCACTTCAGTCGAAGTGGAATTCGACCAGCCTCCCGTGATAATGGTCAATACACTGCTTCTATCTAGAGTGCAGTTCGTCGGTCTTGGGAAGATTTGGAAGTCCAGAGTGCTTTTGTGAAAAGTAGTGTTTGCAGATCCCCAGTGACTATGTTTGACCCAGTACAGCGTGCCATTTACAGGCCTTTGGCCTTATTCTTGCCATTGAAAACGTATGCCTATTTTGTATATATTCTCGCATACGATACGATCGATATTTGCGCAAAGAACCATCATTTTAAATCGTCCTAGAAGACGTAGCGTAAGAGCGTACTTACTCCAATTTCAAGTCTGTCTAGGAGAGATCAACCGAGTCATTCTCACAATCGTATCATTCATTAGATGAGGCCCGCGAAGCGGTGCTGAGAATCGATCTGCGCCGTGGTAGTGGCGGACATGGAGGCGGAGGCGGACCCGGATAATACCAATGGTGCGCCTTGTCCGGACTTACTCAACAGATCTAAAAGGCGACGAGCGGAAAGTTTGAACTTGCAACAGAGTCACTCGGCCGAACGTCCGGTAGTTCCATTGTCCTGTTAATTATCATTCACGGAGGAGGAGTAAGGGAATAGTGCTGATTCAATGCGCAGAGTCTATTTGCCCTACACGCCCACTTTCTCCTATTCAAGTGCCGTGTCCGTATTCTTGGCTTTACGGGATTTACAAATATTAGTCCGCCCGGGGGCCGTCGTTAAATTCAAAAGACCCTTGTTATAATCGGTGGGCTAGGATAGCTTCCCGGGGCCGTTGCAGATCCATAATTCTGTAGATTTTGTGATTAGAGGAGTTGTCCGAAGGCCACTGCGCAGTCGGTCATTTACAATCCGAATACTCCAAGCGGGTGTAACATCTACCTTGACTCCAGCGGAGTCTCTAACGGAGTCTATTTTGACGGGGAGTAATGAAGATCCCGAGTGGCCTCATCTCCAAGTCGAGAGGCGAAGCATGTATCGTATAAGATGACTTGGTGTCGTCTCAGGATTCTAACGGTTTTGGGAACATGACCAGGTCAAACGAATCTGCGTAACTCGGAAACCACTCTCTCATAAACACAGTAAAAATGGCAGGACTTACAACCACCACCGCAGCCATAGCGGCGGTCGCCCTCCTCCTCCGCCTCGTCTACAACTGGCTCATGCCCAAGCCCATCCCAGGCCTCCCGCACAACCAAGACTCGGCGCGTCGTATCTCGGGCGACGTCCCGTACTTTGCGGAGTATGACAAGGCGGCGCGCTTCCGGACCAGGTTCTTCTACGACCTGGTGGCCAAGCACAAGTCGGCCGTCGTGCAGGTCCTCCTGCCCTTCTCCAAGCCCCTCGTCATTGTCGCCGACTATCGCGAGTCGAGGGATCTCATGGCGAAGCGGAGCAAGGAGCTCAGTCGCGGGTACATGAATAACGTGGCGTGGCAGGGGTTCTTGTCGGAGCACTTTATTGCCATGGAGGACGCGCACCCGTCGTTTAAGAAGTCGAGGTTTCTTACCAAGGACTTGATGACGAACAGTTTCCTTCACTCTGTAAGATATCTCCCTACTCCTTAACCTCATTCTAGTATATCAATCTGATATAACGCATTCAAGGTACCCAAGTCAACGAATATTAACGTGCCCTTAGGTCTCTGCCCCGGCGTCGCACGTAGCCATCTCTGACTTCATTCGCCTCTGGAAACGCAAGGCAGCTCTCGCACAGGGGCTGCCATTCGAGACTGTCGAGGACTTGGAGGGCCTCACCTACGACATCATGATGACAGCCGTCTTTGGCGTCGGGTACGAGGAGAGCACTACGACGAAATATTCCAAGCTCCTTGAAGATGCCGGTAACGACGTTGTGGTTCCGAGCGGTTCGTCCGCACAGGTTGCCAAGTTCCCGTCACCCGAAACCCCGGCCCTAGTGACAGCGCTCCACGTTCTCAACGTCTCCATCACGGCGGTCTTTGGCTCCGTGTTCCCCAAGCTGTCCGTTTTCATCGAGAACCTGAAGCCCAAGGCGCGTCAGGCCCTGAAGTTGAAGAAGGATGCAGTACAAGCCCAGATCGATGCCGCTGTCAAGAGAGCCGCCAAGGGTGGCTCGTCGGAGCACAAGTCGGCGGTAGACTACGTCGTCTCCCGGGAGAAGACAGCGGCCGTCGAGGAGGGGCGTGAGCCAAAGTATGATGGCATGCAGCTGAACGATATGCTGTGGGGATACATCGCCGGCGGCCAGGACTCTACCCACAGCACCCTGTGCTTCACGGTCAAGTATCTCGGTGCGCACCAAGAGGCCCAGCAAAAGCTGCGAAGCGCCCTGCGGTCCGCTTACAACGGGCCATATGCGCAGAAGCGCGAACCCACCATTGAAGAGATCCTCAGGACGCAGGTTCCCTACCTGGACGCCTTCATCGAGGAAACGCTCCGCCTGTGCAGTCCCGCGGGAGCCATCACCAAGGAAACCGTCCGCGACATCAACGTCCTAGGCCACATCATTCCCAAGGGCACAACGCTCATGTTTCTCCTCACCGGTCCGACCTTTGTACAACCAGGGGTGCCCGTCGACGACGCAAAACGCAGCGAGACCTCGCAGAAGGCATCGAGCGAGGGCGTCGGCGACTGGTCGCACAGCGACTTCCCCGCCGAGGATTTCCGCCCCGAGCGATGGCTGCAGGTCGAGAGCGAGGCGGTCAAGTTCAATAACAATGCTGGGCCGTTTATGAGTTTCAGCAGCGGGCCCAGGGGCTGCTGGGGGAAGCGGCTGGCGTACCTGGAGCTGAGGATGATTGTAACGCTCTTGGTGTGGAACTTGGAGTTTTTGAAGTTGCCTGCCGAGCTGGAGGATCCTGGGTTGACGGAGGGGCTTTTCACGAAGCCCAAGTCTAGTATGATTAAGCTGAGAGTTATTTCGGATACGGAGTGAGTCTGGGGTTGAAAGGGGGAACCGAGATCGGCTTGTATTTCGAAGTATCAAGATTGGTATTCTTACCAGATTTCACATAATACATAAGGCTTGTCTTAAGAGGTATGCCTAGCTGAAAGAGAAAATGAATGTTGCCCACTAGATGTCAGCGATTTCAAATATTCGAATGCAGTTTGTTGTTTGATATATTTCAACTGGGCGCTTGGAAAAACTTACTCTTCTACAATGTCTCTCTGGGTAACTACCCTTCAGTGTAGACCAACACCTACGTATGCCCTAGAGTGAACCCTAGGCCAGGATCCTTCAATAGAGCAGCAATCCGTCGTTCTCAAGCCTTTCACGAGTCTGTCATGTCAGCAAATGCCGTTGAAGCAAGAGAGCAAGTGGGCCTAGACCAAGTTATAGCATGATCAGTTCGACCGGTCCACTCCACTATTACGGAGAAGAACCAAGTCAACAGACAAGTCATTCACCGAAACACTACGACTGATCTCTCACGGGGCCGAACATTCACCAACAAACGAGCCGCAATACTAAGATAGTCCTGAGCGCTCTCACCTGTGAATGGACACAACCAGGGAACCCTCAAAAAGATCAAAAACATACAACACCAGGTATTCGCTGGTCGTCACCGACCCAACTACTAATCCGGCCCTCACTGGCTTATCTATGGGAGAGCGGACGGGATCCCGAGTTCTCCAGTGGGTATGGTCGTATGTGAAAGCTTCACGATGTCAAGTTGAAAATGAAGTCCGTAGCGGCAGAAGATGCGGCTCTGCTCTCAACTCTTAATACCAAATTGTATTATTCTTACAGTAGGACGGCTCAAGACTGCGAAAAATTATCAGAAACGTTGGTTTCCTCGTTTTCGAATTTTGGGGGTTGGATCTTGTGGTGTTAGTTGCAAATGGCGAACATTGATGCTGATGTTTCGAATGATATGCAACATCTCGCATCCGGCATCATGCTTACCTTACCTACCTTAGACCGTGCTAATCAGCTGTGCTCTAAACCAAAGATCAATTATTCGATATTCCCGCTGCTCGAAATATGGCAAGTGAAATAAGCTAGTGAATGTTCTCATAATCTCAAATATCTCGAAATGCGTCGTCGACAAACGAACCGCAACACCGTCAAAGCCACAGTTCACTAAGCAAACCACCAGCCACCAAACCCAACTTGAACCAACCAAATGATGTGCCATAACACCACAGGTTACCTTTTCTGGACAACCCAGCAACCACATTTTCCTAGCTAGACAAAGGAGACTTTGAAGAATAGTAGGTATGGCTGCTGTAACGAAAAAGCCCATGTTTATTTCCTAAGCCTATCACAAGCCAGGGGGGGGGGGGGAACGCGTACCCGATATCTCGTTCGTCCACCTCCCTCACCTAATTAGGCACCCAGGGTACCTTCTTTGCCTCCGTGTTGTTGTTGGTAGTTCATCCGCCGCCCTTTACTTCATCATCGGCTGTCTCCACTTCCGTCCCCCGGTCTCCGCCTCCCCCTCCGGAGTCCCCTAACCATCACGCCCGCCGATGAAAATCTTCCGTGCTCACGACTCCCCCACGCCGCCATGCACGTTTTTGCCTACCTACTCGCCCAAGATAGCGCGAAATGGTAGTCTGGTAGGCTTATCAAGTGAGAACAGACACAAACAAAACAGCCCCTTGAACCCTTCACCGACAGGCACTAGGCAGTAGTAGCTCGGCCCAAAAACGCCATCGAGGTTTGCGGTTCGTTCCATTATTAGTAGCGTAGTACAAGCCCGGCCAGCCACGCCAAACACTAGAGGTAGACCGTAGGAGGCCGTGGACAGCAAGAGCCACTCTATTTGTCCAAGAGTGCGAATCCAGCCCAGGCCAAAATGGAATGTTTGTTGCCTCAGATTTACCCATTCAACCCACCTCCATCTAAGCCTCAATCGCTCGGTCCCTTAGATCCAAACGAGCCTCGCACTTTGCACTCGAACTCGAACTTCCTTATCTCTGTCCATTAAAAACACATTCCCCAGATCTCGTCACCGCCCGACCGCTCAGATCTCCCTTCCCTCCTATTCCTAATCACCCGCCCGTTCACCCCGCGATTCTTTCCGATCAGATTCGTTTGCCCCCCCCCCCCCCCCGGACAAGCGGGCGTTTTCTTGGAGGGGGTGACCTGCCAGCCTAACCCCACCATTGCGTTCCCCGCCATCCGAGACATCCACACAGGACCACCACAGCAACTTCACTGGGCCCTTGGGGTCGGTGAGGTGGGACAAGGGCGAACAGGTGAACATTGAAGCCGCTAGTACCAAGCATGTGGCCTTCAATCTCCGAGATAATATCGCAAAAAGGCGACTGCAGGCGCGGAGCGGAGTGGAACAAAAGTGTCCAGATCCTTGCCAAGCGCTGTCGTCTGGCTAGAGGTGCCAAATGCGCGAGTACGCATACGGTGATCGACGTCGATAAAAAAAAAAGAGGAACCTGCGGGGTGCATCCGCACCACGCGAGCTAGAGCTTTCACATGTCAAAAAAAACAAAAGGCTGCCAAACTCCGAGGAGCACCCCCAAGCCTGAACTGAGCGCTTTTCAACCCTTGCAGATTCTTGTGGTGCGTCAGTCGCCAGGGAGGAACAAGAAGTTGAGATGGCAGATCAGCCCAACAGAAATAGTAGGGAGATGAAGGAGGGAAATCATTGAACCGACAACAGATTTGCAAGTAAGACGATGTCTATTATATGTGAAATATGTTTTTTCGTTTAATAAGTGAAATTTGGGGGAAATAACAGTGTGAAGGGTATCAACTACAAGAGCCTTCCCTGATCAAATATAATAAATCTGGGTAAATCTGGTTCCGCAAGTAAATCATCGTAGCCTCCCGTGCGCGGCCCGCAACAGGGCTGGGACACTCCCGTAAATTACGTTCATAATCGTGCCCAATATATCCTGCCTTGGTTTCCCTGGGAATCTGCCTTTTGATAACGATTCCCACGTGCTGCAGGAATTTTTTCTCCTACATCGTGATATAGCAAGCGCCCTCATACCCGAGGAGGCAAGCGCTGGCGTCCTTCGGTTCGGTATTCCGAATTTCGTCTGGAGGAGCAGTGGAGCTTACCAATGGTAAGGTATTTCCACTGATGGTAGTATTGTTGACATTGAGTGGTGATATTACCGTCCCACGAGGGCGCTTTCCTGGGCCCTGAGCTCGTCGTTGCCCTTCATTATCTCTTCAAGCCACTCGGCCGCCATAGTCAACATCGTGCTCTTGCTGAAGCCGCCTCCCTTGAGACCTGGCACAAGCTCGCAGAGGTCATCGAAGCCTTCCTTGATCAAAGTACGGCGCTTTTGCTCGCTCTTGATGTGGTTTTCTCGTTTCTGTGCATCCGTGAGGTTCTCCCGTGCTGGCTTGGCTCCAGTCCCGGATTTACGCCTCCGGCCTGTGCCGTTTTCTGCTGGCGGGGTGGCTGACGTAGGTTCGGTCTTCGTCTTGCGTTTTCTCGCTGCTTTCATTGTGGTACCATTCTCTTCATCATCCTCGTCAACTTCCTCCTTCGTGCTCCTGCTCTTCCTCCTTTTTCTTGGCGGTGCATCAGCATCCTCTTCTTTTTTCAATACTTCGGATGACTTTCGGCTGTGACCTTTTCCTATTGCGTGCTCGCCGTTCGGGCTTGGTGGGCGAGTATTATCTGTGCTTTGGCTTGGCTCCAAGCATTCCATGTACCTCAGCTGGCCTCGAGACAGAGCATCGTAGGTTTCTTTAGGATCCGGAACAAAGCTGTTGGAGCGGTTGAATCGAGCATCCGAGCCCCACTGTACATCGATATTGGGAACCTGGTTAGCCCGTTGCGAAGACACTCTCTCGCCAGGAGCGGGTCCGAAAAACATGTCCGCGAATGTGCTATCATGATCATCGACGAGACTGGCCTGAGCCACGCTGCCTCGTTCAGCACGCTTGAAATCCTCCATAGGTTGGTGCCTTAGGTGGCCGACGGGTGGACCGAGGGAGTGCGGAACGTCCCTGGTGCTGCTGAACATCGGCCCAGACCCATTTGTGTTTGTTCTTGACGAGGAACCGTTGTGCAGTAGTGTGCTGGCGGCCTGAAGAACGTCGGCTGAGGCGTGCTGATCGAGTGTCGGGTGTGATTGCTGATGATGATGCTGCTGCGGCGGCGGTGGCGGCTGCTGCTGATGCTGCTGCTGCTGTGGGGGAGGGGGAGGAGGAGGCATCAGGTTTGAGCCCATGGACATCATGTCCGCAAAGTCGTTATGGGGCATACTATGCCCAGGGGACGCAAGAGGCGGCGGTGCCGGCGACTGGCCAAAAGATGTTGCCGTCCCCATGAACTGGGGAGGTAATTCCAACCAAGCATCGCTGAAGTTGAGTCCTTCGCCGAAAGAAGGTAGATTGTAATGATCGGCAGTCATGTCCTCGAAGAAGGAACTGAGTAATTTGGTTTCATTGTCGGAGAGAAGAGGAGCGCCAGGCGCAGGTTCGGGAGGGTCGAGGAAGAAGTCTTGCGAAGGATCAACGGCATCTAGAAAAAGGTTGTGAGTATTTGACTTTGACGGGAAATGGACGAGACGGTTTACTAACAGCCGAAGGGCAAATTGGGGTCTGACGGCTGCGTCGAACCCATCCTGGGACGTTGTATGGCGAGCATGGGTGCGTCTTGTGGCAAATGGACGGTGGCCGTCGAATGCGCTGGTTCTGGTTCTGGTTCGGAGAGCGAGAGACGTTGGTCGCGAAGGCCTCGAAGCGTAAGAAAGAGTGAGTGTAGTCGACTCGAAGGAGGGCATGCGCATTCCTATGGGCAAATCGATATCCTATGAATCATTGACGGAGGGGTGGGACGTGTGTATCAGGAGCGCAGTGCAGCGCAGCGCGTCTATACCAAAAGGCTCGTCCGGCTGGGAGAGAGCATACGGTAGAGCGGTCTCGAATGGGTTATCAGCGAGTCGCTTGATTGCCTTGTGATTTGGCGGGGTGGCGGATTGTAGTTGTGGCAGCAGCGACCGCTATGGTGTTGTTTGATAGGAGTCTGGAGAGGTTGGTGGGTGTATTTGCCGTCTTTAGGTGCGCGCCGTGGCAGAGCAGGAAGAGACCGAAGTAGAGGCTGGCAGGTTGCGTCGAGGCGGAGGTGGGGTGGTGGCTGCGCTTAGGCACCGCACCGGGCTTCTGGATTCCTAGTGCTAGAAGGAGGTTCTCTTCGCCGTCGTCTCGTCCGATGAGCGGGGGGTGAGGGGGAAGGAAGGAAGGAAGGAAGGATGGATGGATGGCGATGATGAGCGTGAGGCAAAAGGCGGGACGGGTTCCGTGTAAGGTAAGGCGAGGCAAGGTGAGGTGAAGTGAAGTCGGGGAGGGCAAGCGGAGCTGGGGGCAGCGTGTGGGATGGCGGCAGAGTGGTGTACTAAAGCACGGCGTCAAGCAGTGCTACGTTCTCGATGGATGGTGAGATGGAGAGCTCCTAGTTGAAGAGCATCCAAGGTCTACCCCGTATGGCGGACGTTAATGCGGCCCATGCAGGGCTAAGGAGAAGGAAGAGACCCTTGAGACTTGTCGAAAGGCACCTCAGAAGCAGAGTCTGGGTACGGAGTAGTCTCTAGAGGTACGGTGTCGAGCCACGAGAGGGCGAGGGTACGTGTGTTTGTCCAAGATGGGATGTGAGCGCGAGGCCCATTCGAAGCATTGGCCTGCTTGTATAAGGTAGACAGACTCTGGACCAACGTGTACGAAGCTGAGGTGGTGCTTTGGCTTGATGTTGAGGTTGGCTCAACCGTGTACTTGCATATCTGAGAGAGCGCCAAAACGGATAGCGAGGAATAGCAACAGGTGAGGTGAAACGAACCCCCAATCAGCTCAGGGAGGTGGCCAGACGTAAGCTAAGGCAAGTAAGACAGATGGGGAGAGGAAGCGGACGTGGTCGAAGGCGTAGGACGTGGGCGTGAGGTGACGGACACGGTACTCTCTGGTAGGTACTGTACGGTGCAGCGAGAACGAGGGCTCAAGGACCCCGTGATTTTTTTCAGTCGGGGAGAGTGAGTGACGAGCAGGAAATCAAGGACTCGAAAAGAATGAAAAGTCTGGGGCACCAAACAGCCAAAGTACGACCCCTGTTATTTGACCAGGGTGGTTGAGTGCTAGCCTGAAGTGTACTGCGTAGAAGAGAGAGGTCAGAGACTCTGACTCTCTGAGTACGAATAGTAGTGAGGACTGATGTAGAGGTGGAGGAACTTAGGAAGAGGGATCAGGGAGGGCAAAGTCGCAAGTTGCAGGGAGGGGTGGGGTGTGAGGTGTGGGTGGGTTGCCGGCACGGTCACCTGCATCGCGCGCTGCAAGCCTCCGCACTTACCTTAGTGGCAGCAGTCAACGGACAGTGGACAGGTTAGGCCGGCCGGCCAGCAGCAATGGAATTGGAAGTAGGTAGGCAGGGCAGAGCAGGGCTCGAGCCGGCCTAATTTTCCCATTGCTACCTTTGCCCAGTTTCTTACGGATGAGGATGCCATGGATGGCCCTAAGATATCCCGTCCTACCTGCCCTGCCCTTCCCCCAACAACTGAAAAGGACGAAAGGCTGATTGGATAAGGCGCCGGATCTTGGATCGGAGCCATGCGGACATGAGACAAGCAGAACCATATCGTTGAAACGGTGCGGTTGCGCTTACGCCTTACCTAAGCATCCACCTTGGTGTACCACCTATGGAAGGTAGGTACCGGTAGAGGCTGAGGCACCTCTTTCTGGCGGGCTCGGGTCACACGAATGGCGGTCAGCAGGTGGACTACTAAGGGATTAAATAAGTTTTGATTGGTTCGTGAAGCTCTTCTCAACCTTCTCGTTAGCTTGGTGCCTGACTGCTTAGCTGGGTGGGTCGATACCAGTTTTTGATGCTAACGAACTTATGTTCCTAGCGGGTCATCACATGCCAGCTCGGAGCTCCCCCTCTCACCTTCTCCTCTCAATTCTCTCTCATCCCCAATCTCATCCCCCCCTCCCGCTGTCCAGCGCTGTCAGTCATCTTCATCTTCTCCCTGCCCCAGGAATTACCTTCCACTATTCCATTCTAGGCCTGGCCTCTCGATGTACTTTTGTACCTGTATCCGTGCACTCGTGTCCCGCATCATCAGCCTTCCTAAGCTTTTCCCAGCATTTTCACGCACCTCACCGCGCTCACCTCATCTCAGCTTAGGGAGCTTTGCAAAGAGGTTCCACGTTCGCACCCATTCGACATGCTCTGAAAGTTCCTCAGTTTTTGCTCTGCTTCGATATACCCTGTCTTATTCCCGTTGACTCACAAGTCTGGCCTCATCGTTCGGCCAAACTCGTTGCTTCCATCTGTCGCCTGGAACCGCATCTGTAACACGTCTTCATCCCGTTTTGTGTATTCAAGTCTCGGTATCTCAATTAACGCTGTCACATCCATACTTGCCGCACTGCCCGTTCGTTCTATCCACCCGGATGCCTCGTACATCAAATCCTTTGGAGTTTTGATGGCTGTCCACAAGTTCCTGCTAAGCACCTAAAGTAGCGCCGACAGATCCTAATAAGGCACCTCACAGACCTTGAACGGTTCTTGACACGGCGAGACAAAGGAAACAAACACAGCCTCGGTTGATACGAAACGGCTGGCTGTCCCAGCCTGTCTGTCTGTGGTTTCCCACCAGCCAACCAGTCAACAATTGACCTCCTGTGTTCAACTGTCCACCAAGCATTCCTCGTTCGAGAACTAGGAGCAAGCGCCGAGATTCTTGACGGACGGTCGATCGCACTGATCGAAACCCTCCACGCCCGAAGCGTCCCGCAACTCGCAAGGACAAGAGTTCTTGAGCAAGGCTAGCAAGGTACTCCCTGTCCAACGTCGTCTACCACTACCGAGCCAACGCAAAACGCCGTTCCCTTCAGGTTTTGCTCCAGACAGACTCCAGACTTTGATAGAAGTCTCTTCTTCTTCTTCAGCACCGTCGCACTCGCATGGGTTGCCGCGCCTAAGCCCCATCTGGCTTGGCTGAAGATTCAATCTTCACTCCCGTTTCTTCCTGGCCGCCAAGGTGAACCGTGAAGCTCAGTTTCTCCGCGTGCCAGACCAGCTGATCGAAACACTTGATCCTGCAACCAATCACATTCGCCAATCTTGCTAGCCGTGGCGGTAATCTGCGCTTCGGTCACGTTTGCCAGATCCGACCTCTCCTCTTATGCGTATTTACCGTACTCCGTGCTCCGTACCTTTCTCCCTAACTTACCTTACTCTCGACCGTGCCGAGGAACCCAATTGTCACATTTCCTTCGGCCTCACCATTGACCTGCCCCTGGTCTCCATCTGCACCTACTGCACAACCTACGTCGCTCATCCTACCCCAGGCCCTCCATCACGTCGTGGGTCGCACCATTACCCCACAATTTCTTATTTCATTCCCGTCCCCTTCGTCTCTTAACACGCAAGGTACGCGATATTTTTCGCTATTGAGCACAGCTCCAGCCCTGCCCCAGGCGCTGCGGGTTGGTGGTCGACTCTGGAGTAACGGCCATCACGAGCCTTCAGAAGAGCAAGTTGATCAATACTACCCCCTGGTAAGACGCGCCCACTAGTTCGCCATCTTCATTACGCGTTTTCCCGTTATTCTTTCAAACGTCTTAGGACACCTACATGCCTAGACTGTTCTCCTGTAGCTTGTTTGATTGGCATCCGAGGTATATGCCCAGCTTCTAGTGAAGATGGGCCGGGCAATCCCGAACCTTGTTCCTCATAACCAAATACCTGTCATCGTCTGGTTGGTCTTCCAATTCTCGACATGATTCATACTCTCTAGCTGGTGCGGATGGCCAGTCCGCTTGCTGCTTCACTCCCCTATTACCTAACGTAACTCATGCCTTGCCACGGTTCTGCTGTCGTTACGCCCCTACCGATCATCACACTTTCGCCGGTCCTTCACCTTGTCTGCCCAGAGCAACGACCCATGTCTCCAGCCACATCCTTCGTTTCCCAGATCCCCTCTGCTGAACTCAGTTTGACGAGCAGCCTACCAATTCAAACCTCACGCCATTGTACGGTTACATCATAGCATATCCGAATGTGCACAGACACATCGCTTCCGGCTCTTATGCGGATCGCTGATTCTCTGCTCAGGAACCGTCTCCAGTTCAACTACCGGCACTGACGCCGAAGCCTCATGGCTGCCGTCACACCTTCGCTTCCCGCAATGCTACCTCGGAGTCAGCTGCAAATTCGCCGGAATGGCCTTGTCGAGCTACAAGCAATTCCGCCAATCCTACGGCCCCTCCTTCGGGCCTACCTCCTAGGATATGCTTCCGCTGTTGCTCCGAGAGTCCTTACGTTGCTGATGCAATACCTTACCAAAAAACGCCGTCAAATTGCAAAGGAGAACGGGTGCATCGGGTTTGTGGCGCAACTGAGGCGGATAGTCCTCGCCGGTCTAGACCCCCAACGGTTTCCAACCTTCTGTGCCTTGCTTGTTGGTGGCAGTACACTTTTAGAGGTATGTACATTTCTTTCAGCGTGAAGTATCAAACACTTGTAATTGCCGATACCAGGGCTGTGGTTGCTTCACTTGGTCTCAAGTACTGTGAACTAGGCATCCAGTACACATGGTGATGGAGACCTCAGAGTTGCACTGGCTTCTCTCC